CCTGGGCTCAAGTGATCCTTCCACCTCAGTCCACCTGAGCAGCTAGGACTATAGGTGTGTGCTGCCATGCCTGGCTAAGTTTTAAAACTTTTTGTAGAGATGGGGTCTTGCTGTATTTCCTATGCTGCTCATGAACTCCTGGCCTCAAGGGATCCTTCTGCTTTGGTCTCTTAAAGTGTGGGGATTACAAGGATGAGCTACTGTGCTTGGCCATGTTTTCAATTCAGGCTTTCTCTGAGTGCTGGATGTCCCCTGCAGCTCCTCCACTTTGATCCCCTCATTCTTTCCATAATTTTGTTCTTCTGGAACCATCTCTACAAATGGGCCCCTAATCTCTGCTGGAATATTAGCTGCTCACATTCTCCCTGTCCCAGCCTGCATTAAATAATTTGAGTCACATGTTGAAAAAGGAACTCACCACCTTTCTCACCAAAACAGACCTCCTTGCTAACTGCTTCAAGTTGCGACTTAAAAATAAGGAGGTATCTTTTTGTCACTCATTATTTGGTTAGTGCAATAATCCCCCATGATTCTAAATTATGACAGGTGAATTCCCTTTCCTTTCATGGTGTTCTAGGAAGTCCAGTAGACCCAGGATGAAGTTTCTGGATTTTTCTTTTTTTTTTTTTTTTTGAGACGGAGTCTCGCTGTGCTCCCAGGCTGGAGTGCAGCGGCGTGATCTCGGCTCACTGCAAGCTCCGCCTCCCGGGTTTACGCCATTCTCCTGCCTCAGCCTCCCAAGTAGCTGAGACTACAGGCGCCCGCCACCACGCCCGGCTAGTTTTTTGTATTTTTTAGTAAAGACGGGGTTTCACCGTGTTAGCCAGGATGGTCTCGATCTCCTGACCTCGTGATCCGCCCGTCTCGGCCTCCCAAAGTGCTGGGATTACAGGCTTGAGCCACCGCGCCCGGCCGGCCCTGGATACTTCTAACAGGATCCACCACAAGTCACTGAAGCACTGTGTTTAGAGCCAGGCAACTTCCTTGACTGCATGAACCAGGACAGCAATTTTCACCTCTCTTTCCCAACTTCAATTCTCTACCCACACCCTACCTTTCCAGTCTTCCTGTTATCAACAGAGTGGGCCTTGCCTCTCCTCTCCAAAGCTAAGTCCTTCACCTGAACTCGGAACCCAACCTGTCCCAGTCCACAAATCCCTCTACCTATGCCTGCCTTCCCCCAAACCTCTCACCACTCCCCCAGCCCCTCCTTGCACAGGTCCTTCCCGATCCTTGTGACAGAAGCACTCCTTGGCCAGTCTCCTCCACACACATGCACATACTCTGCCTACTCCTTCCTGCAACCCTGAGAGCTGGGGGCTGGCCGCCACTACTGCTATTTCGACATGCTTTTACAGGTGACTTTTAGCTTGCCCAAGTGTCTTTTCTTGGTTCTTATACTTCTTTACCTCTCTTTGCATGTGACAATGGTGCTAAAGAATGCCTCTTTCCTCGTTTCTGATCATATCATGTTCTTGTTTTGTAGTTTTTAATTTTATTTATTTATTTATTTATTTTT